CAGTGTGTAATGTGGAGACACAGTGTGTAGTGTGGAGACACAGTGTGTAGTGTGGAGACACAGTGTGTAGTGTGGAGACACAGTGTGTAGTGTCGACACACAGTGAGTAGTGTGGAGACACAGTGAGTAGTGTGGAGAGACAGTGACAGAGAGAAGCAGAGGCACAGAGACAGGACAGGTTGTTCTCTGTGTTTCCTGTTGTTGTAATAAAACTCAGCTGATCATCTCACAGAGTACCTTCATTCTTGGACCACGTATTTCTGTCTTTGTTAAATAAATATTACCATAACATTTCCATTATGGTACATTTTTCATTTAGGAGTTTTAAACAAAGAGGTGTCATCTTCTCATACTCTAATTTCAATTTCACAACAAACATATACAGAATTACAAGATTTACAAAATGTCAGTGTGCCCCAGGGCAGCTGTGGCTACAATGTAGCTTACCATCATTAGTGTGTGAATGTGTGTGTGAAAGAATAATGTGAAGCATCTTGGAATGTCTAGACATGTGTTATATAAGACAAATGCATAATAATCATATTAATAATAATAACAATAATAATAATAACTATGATAACTATAATAACAATAATAATAATAATAATAATAAATAAAATGAAGTGACAGTAACGTCTGAGTGAATTCGGTGTAGATGGATGTTTTTCCTTTCTGAACGAGCCCAGCTGTCTGTCTAAAGAAATGGAAAGCACAATCTGAACAGGTTCTGCAGCRTTAATCGATGCGATGTTTCAGCATGTTTTTAGTCAGTGCCACACAGCAGGTCACCGTCACAAGGAGAGTCAGGCCACATACAAGCAGCCCCACAGACCCGTCACCAACTGGAACCTGGAAACTGATGGTGCTGGGCTCCTAAGGGACACACAACACATCCTTTTAGGAAAGGAGGAATGAATAAAAAAGGCACCATGTAAAGGTTTGTACCTGCTGATGATGGGTTTTAACCCACAAACACATGCTGGAATTGCTGACAGTGCATGGTGCATCCACTACAGTAAAAGACTCCAGTCTGTTCAGGTGTGTACCTGGAGAAAACAAATTAATCAGTTAATTATTTTTACAACATAGATAAGGTAACACACACACACACACACACACACACACACGTAGAAATGATCTGACAGCAGCTTACAGCAGTAAAACCTGACCTCATCTTTAGTGCTTCACTTCATACAGAAGGAAAGCCGAAGTATCATGAAATAATGCCTTCATCTGATAAACTATAGATTCAAATAAGAATAAGTATATTAATGTACATTAGTTCTAAAATAACCTCCTTACATTCATCAGTCCTCAGCAGCAGCTCAGGAGGTTCAATATGAACAGATGTGAATGTTTGTCCAACAGAAGACGGTTCATGATAGCGTCCGTGTACTGGAATCGTTACTTTATGAAGCGCAGATGTTGGTCCAGTGTTGGTGGGATACACATAGGTCAGAAATCCTGAAGTCTTGTGAGCTGGCAGCTCTAGATCAATGCTTGGATCTATTAATATCTAACAGAAATGGGGACAGACTAAATGTCACACACACACAAACACACACACACAGGGACATTTTGAATGGTGTTTTTATATTAATACACAGTTCTGTCATAGTTACCTGCCAGTGTTGATCCCTCAGTGATGTCAGTTCATATGGATCCAGGTAAACACCACGTGGCCATGTYTACAGCAGCAACATGCTGACACCTGTGAGCACATCAGGTGTGTGCTGAACAGTGGCTGTCACCTGTCTACACACAGGAAACATTATTACCTCCAGAGTTGTACAGTAACTAAGTACAAATACTTTGTTACTGTACTTAATCCAGGGATTAAGATTATGGAACAGCCTGGAAGATGAAGTTAAAAATGACAGATCTTTGTATTTATTGAAGAGAATAAAAACTAGTATTCTGAAGAAATATGGAGAATTATAAGTGAATTCATGATAGTTGTTGTTTGAGTTGGTGTTTTAAATTTTGTTTTTAGGTTTTTGTGTGTTTTCAGTTGTTTTGATTTTTGTTGTATTTTACTTTTATTTTGAACATATTTTGAGTATAAAAAGGCAGATATTATCAGATTTATTC